CGTTGTCGCGTCGGCACCGTTTTCGCCGATCGAAAGCAAAAAACCGCGGGGTATCGTCGACCCGTGGTTGATGAAAGAAATCGAAATAAAAGCACGTCCCGACTCGATCGAGCGAGTTTGAAATGAGGGCCACGACGCATGTTAGTCTCCTATCGAGCTGCCGTAATTGACGGGAGGATTATAATTTTTTTTATTGAATTAATCCGATTTTATTTCCACCCCCCAACCGGCAATATCCGTGGCAACGAGGCCTGGTGTGATAAGCCCATCACAGGAAGCTCAATGGAAACGAAACGCGAGGCTGGAAAAGTTGACATTTCAAAAGTTGCCAAGCCCTTTGATAAGAAATCCAAAATAGCGTGCGATGTGACGCATGTGTCGTCTGGTCTTCAAGCCGGCTCACGATGGCCCCGTCACGAGATGCGAGACCTAAAGGTTAAATAAAGCCCTGTAGATTGAGGCTCGCTGCTTGTGAGTGGGGTGTTCACTATGGCCGTGTCACACTAAAAAACGAAACTAAAACATTTTGGATAATTGGTTTTTTACCCTTCTATCTGGCAACAAAACTGACACCTTTTTACAACGAGTCATGTTTGCATAGACCACAATACCTGCAGTCAAGGTGTCATCTGGTCCAACCCATGTGAGACTAGGCTCTAAGGAAAGCTGTCTCGGGTGTGGACCAATCAACTTCAAGGACAGTGCATACATTATCAGAGTTATGTTTTTTGTTTGCATTATGACTGCAGGTATTGTGGTCTATGCAAACATGACTCCTTGTAAAAAAAGGTGTCAGTTTTGTTGCCAGATAGAAGGGTAAAAAAACAATTATCATATTTTTTACTGGCAAATGAGGTTCCAATGGTGTAAAACATTTTTCTTTTAACAGGTAAGGCCCGCTGAGCTATATAGCTAATTTTCAGAAGTGACTTGGCTATCACAAACGATAGCTCAACCACGTGGCTTCTCACGTGGAAATGTATAGCAGCGAAGTACTCTCAAACGCGCATTGTTGAATCTAAATGTGGAGGGATAGACCAGAGGACACGGAGACCACTGGGAGAGAGACACGCAGCCGCAGGCGTCAGGGTCGGGATTGAACTCACGACCTCCTGTACACCAGGCGGGAGAGTTAACATCTCCACGGGGAGAGAGAGAGAGACACGCAAACTACAAATATACAGCAGCAGGCGTCAGGGTCAGGATTGAACCCACGACCTCCTGTACACCAGGCAAGAGAGTTAACATCTCCACGGGGAGAGAGAGAGAGACATGCAAACTCCCAATACACAGCCGCAGGCGTCAGGGTCGGGATCGAACCCACGACCTCCTGTATACCAGGCGAGAAAGTTAACATCTCCACGGGGAGAGAGAGAGAGACACGCAAACTACAAATACAGAGCAGCAGGCGTCAGGGTCAGGATCGAACCCACGACCTCCTGTGTACCAGGCGAGAGAGTTAACATCCCGCCAACGTGACGCGAACACACGCACGTTCGGCTGTCATCATCGCCCTTCGCCACCGTCATCCTCAACCATGGACTGATTGCGACATCCATTGTCTCATCAGCAGTCACACAGACACACAACAAAGACAAAGATCCCCCGTATAGCCTTAACAGACTGTAGGGGCAACTGCTGTTAGCGAGCACCTATGAAGGCCGGAACAGTACACGAGGGGGTGAGTGGCCAGCACCACGCCCGACCGCCTTTGTCTCCCTAGTGGCGATGTTTACGCACCGCACCAGGTACTCATTTAAGGCTGAGTCGACCTAGGGGAGGCCCAGGACCGGTTCAGATAATCGTCACTGGTGTTTGCCGTGAGCGGGAATCGAACTCGGGTGGCCAGGTCCGTAGTGCAGCGCGCTAACCACTACACTACCGCTCCCCACTAGACACACACGCACAGCCACACAGTCACGCACAGCCACACAGACACGCACAGACACACAGACACGCACAGACACGCACAGCCACACAGACACGCACAGACACACAGACACACACAGCCACACAGACACACACGCACATACACACAGACACACACGCACACACGCACAGGCACACAGACACGCACGCACAGACACACAGACACACACGTAGAGACACACAGACACGCACGCACAGGCACACAGACACGCACGCACAGGCACACAGACACACGCACAGGCGCATACGCACAGGCGCACACGCACAGACGCACACGCACACAGACACGCACGCACAGACACGCACGCACAGGCACACAGACACACACGCACAGACACACGCACAGACACACGCACAGACACACGCACAGACACACACACGCACAGACACACGCACACAGACACACAACACGGTTAGCGCAAGAAGTAGTGTTTGTGACGGAGACAGCCACGGCACGGGCGAGGAGGGAGGAGGAGGAGGAGAGAGGGGGGGGGCGGTGGGTGCAGGGGGTGGGTAGCCAGGTAAGGATATTGGTGGGGGGTGGTGGGAGGTAGCGGACCAAACCCACGTGGCCATGACAACCAGGTGTGCGGGGAGGGTCCCTCTGGTTCCGCCTTTAGTTCTCGTCGCTCTATGTCCGTGTCCGTCGTTGCGGCTTGTGCCCGACCGACGGCTGCCCGCCCGCCGTTAGTGAATGAATTGTTACGGCAATCGTTGTCGTGGGTCGCTCCGCTCGCTTGCTGACAGCCGATCGTGTCCTCCCCCCCCCACACACCCTGTCCCCCCCCACCACCCCCTGTCCCCCCCCACCACCCACCAACGCCGTGCCGTGTGGACTTGTGCCGGGTTGACGTCGCGCCTCCAGCCAAGACAACCTCTTCCCACGCACGATCAGCCTCAGGTAAGGCGACGCGTCGTGGCGGTTGTTTGTGGCGGTGGTGGCGGTGGTGGCGGTGTTTGGTGGTGGTTGACGATGGTGGTGGCGCTGGTGACGATGGTGGTGGCGATGTTTGCGCGCACGCAGTATGTAATCTGGCACTCGTCAATGACGGAAACAATGAAAGGCACGAGCCACAGTCGTCTGCTATTGTGGCCAAGCGACCCAAACCGTGAACCCGTTAGTTAGCATGACATTGAGACGCATAGGGAACTCTACACAGAGCATCGTAGAGATACACGGAGACACAGAGAGATACATGGAGAATTGTAGAGATACATGGAGACACACAGAGTCACATGGAGACACAGAGAGATACATACACACTCATAGAGATGCATAGAGATACATAGAGAATCATAGAGATACACGGAGACACAGAGAGATACATGGAGAATTGTAGAGATACATGGAGACACAGAGTCACATGGAGACACAGAGAGATACATACACACTCATAGAGATGCATAGAGATACATAGAGAATCATAGAGATACACGGAGACACAGAGAGATACATGGAGAATTGTAGAGATACATGGAGACACACAGAGTCACATGGAGACACAGAGAGATACATACACACTCATAGAGATGCATAGAGATACATAGAGAATCATAGAGATACACGGAGACACAGAGAGATACATGGAGACACAGAGAGATACATACACACTCATAGAGATGCATAGGGACTCGTAGAGAATTGTAGAGATACACTGAGACACGGAGAGATGCATACACACTCATAGAGATGCATAGAGATACATAGAGAATCGTAGAGATACATGGAGACACACAGAGTCACATGGAGACACAGAGAGATGCATACACACTCATAGAGATGCATAGAGATACATAGAGAATCATAGAGATACATGGAGACAGAGAGTCACACGGAGACACAGAGAGATACATACACACTCATAGAGATGCATAGAGACTATACACAGAGAATCGTAGAGATACATGGAGACACAGAGAGATACATACACACTCATAGAGATGCATAGGGACTCGTAGAGAATTGTAGAGATGCACAGAGACACAGAGAGATACATACACACTCATAGAGATGCATAGGGACTATACACAGAGCATCGTAGAGATACATGGAGACACAGAGAGATACATACACACTCATAGAGATGCATAGGGACTCGTAGAGAATTGTAGAGATGCACAGAGACACAGAGAGATACATACACACTCATAGAGATGCATAGGGACTATACACAGAGCATCGTAGAGATACATGGAGACACAGAGAGATACATACACACTCATAGAGATGCATAGGGACTCGTAGAGAATTGTAGAGATACACAGAGACACAGAGAGATACATACACACTCATAGAGATGCATAGGGACTATACACAGATAATCGTAGAGTTACATGGAGACACAGAGATACATACACACTCATAGAGATGCATAGAGATACATAGAGAATCATAGAGATACACGGAGACACACAGAGTTACATGGAGACACAGAGAGATACATACACACTCATAGGGACTCATAGAGATACATAGAGAATCATAGAGATACACGGAGACACACAGAGTTACATGGAGACACAGAGAGATACATACACACTCATAGAGATGCATAGAGATACATAGAGAATCATAGAGATACACAGAGACACACAGAGTTACATGGAGACACAGAGAGATACATACACACTCAGGGACTCATAGAGATACATGAAGACAGAGAGTTACATGGAGACACACAGAGTTACATGGAGACACAGAGAGCTACATACACACTCGTAGGGACTCATAGGGACTCATAGAGATACACGGAGACACACAGAATCACATGGAGACACAGAGAGCTACATACACACTCGTAGGGACTCATAGGGACTCATAGAGATACATGGAGACACACAGAATCACATGGAGACACAGAGAGCTACATACACACTCATAGAGGTGCATATAGATACATAGGGACTCCTAGAGATACACGGAGACACACAGAATCACATGGAGACACAGAGAGCTACATACACACTCATAGAGGTGCATAGAGATACATAGGGACTCCTAGAGATACACGGAGACACACAGAATCACATGGAGACACAGAGAGCTACATACACACTCATAGAGATACACGGAGACACACAGAGTCACATGGAGACACAGAGAGCTACATACACACTCGTAGAGATACACGGAGACACACAGAATCACATGGAGACACAGAGAGCTACATACACACTCGTAGAGATACACGGAGACACACATAATCACATGGAGACACAGAGAGCTACATACACACTCGTAGGGACTCATAGGGACTCATAGAGATACATGGAGACACACAGAATCACATGGAGACACAGAGAGCTACATACACACTCATAGGGACACGGAGACACACAGAATCACATGGAGACACAGAGAGCTACATACACACTCGTAGAGATACACGGAGACACACAGAATCACATGGAGACACAGAGAGCTACATACACACTCATAGAGATACACGGAGACACACAGAATCACATGGAGACACAGAGAGCTACATACACACTCATAGAGATACACGGAGACACACAGAATCACATGGAGACACAGAGAGCTACATACACACTCGTAGAGATACACGGAGACACACAGAATCACATGGAGACACAGAGAGCTACATACACACTCGTAGAGATACACGGAGACACACAGAATCACATGGAGACACAGAGAGCTACATACACACTCGTAGAGATACACGGAGACACACAGAATCACATGGAGACACAGATAGCTACATACACACTCATAGAGATACACGGAGACACACAGAGTCACATGGAGACACAGAGAGCTACATACACACTCATAGAGATACATGGAGACACACAGAATCACATGGAGACACAGAGAGCTACATACACACTCGTAGAGGTGCATAGAGATACATAGGGACTCCTAGAGATACACGGAGACACACAGAGTCACATGGAGACACAGAGAGCTACATACACACTCATAGAGATACATGGAGACACACAGAATCACATGGAGACACAGAGAGCTACATACACACTCATAGAGGTGCATAGAGATACATAGGGACTCCTAGAGATACACGGAGACACACAGAATCACATGGAGACACAGAGAGCTACATACACACTCATAGAGATACACGGAGACACACAGAGTCACATGGAGACACAGAGAGCTACATACACACTCGTAGAGATACACGGAGACACACAGAATCACATGGAGACACAGAGAGCTACATACACACTCGTAGAGATACACGGAGACACACATAATCACATGGAGACACAGAGAGCTACATACACACTCGTAGGGACTCATAGGGACTCATAGAGATACATGGAGACACACAGAATCACATGGAGACACAGAGAGCTACATACACACTCATAGGGACACGGAGACACACAGAATCACATGGAGACACAGAGAGCTACATACACACTCGTAGAGATACACGGAGACACACAGAATCACATGGAGACACAGAGAGCTACATACACACTCATAGAGATACACGGAGACACACAGAATCACATGGAGACACAGAGAGCTACATACACACTCATAGAGATACACGGAGACACACAGAATCACATGGAGACACAGAGAGCTACATACACACTCGTAGAGATACACGGAGACACACAGAATCACATGGAGACACAGAGAGCTACATACACACTCGTAGAGATACACGGAGACACACAGAATCACATGGAGACACAGAGAGCTACATACACACTCGTAGAGATACACGGAGACACACAGAATCACATGGAGACACAGATAGCTACATACACACTCATAGAGATACACGGAGACACACAGAGTCACATGGAGACACAGAGAGCTACATACACACTCATAGAGATACATGGAGACACACAGAATCACATGGAGACACAGAGAGCTACATACACACTCGTAGAGGTGCATAGAGATACATAGGGACTCCTAGAGATACACGGAGACACACAGAATCACATGGAGACACAGAGAGCTACATACACACTCATAGGGACTCATAGAGATACATGGAGACACACAGAATCACATGGAGACACAGAGAGCTACATACACACTCATAGAGGTGCATAGAGATACATAGGGACTCCTAGAGATACACGGAGACACACAGAATCACATGGAGACACAGAGAGATACATACACACTCATAGAGATACATGGAGACACAGAGAGCTACATACACACTCATAGAGATACATGGAGACACAGAGAGCTACATACACACTCATAGAGATACATGGAGACACAGAGAGCTACATACACACTCATAGAGATACATGGAGACACAGAGAGCTACATACACACTCATAGAGATACATGGAGACACAGAGAGCTACATACACACTCATAGAGATACATGGAGACACAGAGAGCTACATACACACTCATAGAGATACATGGAGACACAGAGAGCTACATACACACTCATAGAGATACATGGAGACACAGAGAGCTACATACACACTCATAGAGATACATGGAGACACAGAGAGCTACATACACACTCATAGAGATACATGGAGACACAGAGAGCTACATACACACTCATAGAGATACATGGAGACACAGAGAGCTACATACACACTCATAGAGTGTGAACCCACTGGGGTGGCCTCTGCCCTCCTTCCACACAAGTGCAGGAGGAGGAGGAACAGCGGACACGGCACCAACGCTGCGTCTGCTGTAGCCCTCTGGTCGCGGCCACCAGCAGCAGGCCTCGGTCATTCCCGGCGGGTAACATCCCCCGGTGCGACGTCTCAGTCGTCGTGGTGGTTACGACCACGATGCCGGTTGCAACTACGAATCGTCAAGACGTCTTTTCGATTGAAAGCTTCTTTCGTGACTGCAGCAGGGATTCATCTTCTTGGTTCTTTCGGTAAAGTCACGTAGAAGGGAAATAATAA